TTTTATACATTTTAAAGGATGCTATATTTTTTCTATCCTGTTCTATGGAATAGAGAGTTGGTCTCTGACAGAAGGCCACCTGAAGAGACTAGAAACATTTGAAATGTGGATTTACAGGCGGCTGTTACGTATACGCTGGGTTGACAAGATCAGAAATGAAGAGGTGATAAGCCGCCTGGGAAAGCCAAGGGAAATCATTAAAACAATTAAAAAACGAAAATTAGAATATGGATGAAGGTAAAAAAACAAATGATTTTTTGGGGAAAATAATCCTATCTAGACAAGTTGGGACTCAGTATTTATAATTCTCCAAAAACAGAAAAAAACAGGATGAGTTGATGTGGTAAGAGAAACCAATAACAACAACAAAAATTAATTCCAGCTGGATGCTGTGGTGGGGGAAAAAAATCAGAAAAACATTCCCCAGCACATTCTATGGGAGAATCAGTTGGGCAATAGTTTGAAATGTGTTAGACTGCTGGATTTTTAATCCTACTTTCACTTGGTCACAAGACACAGGATAGATCTACTATTAAGAATTTCAAAAGAATTCCAAAAGCCACACAACCATGCTTGTCTTGCTTTGCTTCATTTTTGGTTTAACAACTGGCAGTTTTGACACTTTTTAATTGTGTATATTGCTTTCAGTACTTTTGTAAGAAAGAGAACTGCATATATTTGAAATCATCGTTTTTCTCTTCCTTAGGGTCATTGCAGTGATTTATTGATTTTTCAAACACAACCATATTCACTTCTCAGGTGAGTTGAAAAAAACGGAACTAATAAAATTGTAAAGCCTCCAGAATAGTACACTTCAACAATTATTAATAGCAACTATTACAGGAATAACTCTCCTGATATAACAATTTTAGTGTGCAGAGTCATTTAGTGGATCTCTGGTATGTTGAAACCTAAATATGTAACAACTGTCCTATTGTTTGGGGAGTCAAGTAATGCTGTGTACACACTATGGTTGTTTTCTATTAGTGAAAGGACATTTTCTCTTATAGAAATTTTAATACATTTTGCATTCTTAATATAAACTCTCTTATGTCATTCTTATTTGGCAGCTGTTTAAACCAAATACGTAATCTGTGATTCAAGCAAATCATAGAGGGTATGATGTTTCAATAGAATTATAACAAAGAATAGATTATTTTCAGTAATAGTTGTCTAATGAAAGAGGTACTAAAATTGGGAATATTGCTGTGGGAGTACATATTGCCGTATTTAGATGTTTTAACTAGCTTGCTACTATGCAATTTATAGAGAGCAAAACTCTATAACGTTCATATTGTTTCTTTTAGATTGAGTCTTGATTGTATTGGTAAAAATGCTGTCCTCTTGGAGAAACAATTATCTTGGTTGCCATCTAGACTTCTGGAAGAAGTTGTGGAGAAGATAACTTTTTGGGTTGCTGTTAATCATCGTCAGAAAAAACAAGCCAAAGCAGAAGAACATGAGTAGATTAATGTCTTTTAAATAACAGTTCCATTATCATTTTAAAACAAAAAACACTATTATTGGTAAATTGTTTGAACTAAATTCTAAATTTCTGGATGCATAAGAAACAGTTTCAAATGTTATCAGTGTCATAACAGCTCCAGTTCAGGCTCTGAAGATTAAAAATATTCTTGGACTTAAGAGCAATTTGATCCGATTATTGTTATTAAAGATAATGGGGTTCCAAGCAGTGAAAATGGTGTTTGGCCATATAAGGTAGTTTACCTTCTGCTGGTATTTGAAAAGCATATTTTTTTAAACAAAGTTGAATTGTGTTAAAAAAAATTGTGCAAACTCAAAATCCTTTTACAATGTTTTGACAAAGTTGCTTATTCTGTTGATTGTACAAAATTTGTATTTAACAGTTGAAAATATGTCCTTAACTTATTGTAAAAAGTGTTTATAAAATACTGTTTTCTATTCTTTTTGAATTTTCTTGAGTTTTGTGATTAACACTTGTAGAGTCTGAATACAATTTACTAAACATCCTTTAGTCTCTTGCCATCATGCCATTTTGAAAGATTTGAAAACCTTCAAAAATAATTCTAAATTTTACTTTAATTATAGTAATAATTAAGCTCATATAAAGCTAAAATGTTTGGATTATGCCATAAAATACTCTTTTTATATCACAGATGCCATACGTTCCTTTAAGGAGATTTTTGATAATAGAATATCAATAGGCAACATATAAATGATATTTGCTGCCTTGTTCTTTGTGCAGAAATATTTTAGACATTAAAAGGGGAATGTAAGCTTTCTCAATAGCTGGGTAGCTTACCAAACAAATGGCTGAATTATAATATCTGGCTAAATGACAAATGCAAATTATTAAAAATGTTCATCTGGTAATAAAGAGGTTACTTTAAATACATAGGTCTAAAAGCTATACTGAAATTACTGAGGGGAATTTTTTTCCCTGGGGTAAAAATATATAGGAATGCCCCAGTATCCACTAGATTCAGATTTGTTTTGATTATTTGGATTTTAAATAGATACAATAGATAAATGGGTATTCAAAAGAGTGTCAAAGTGAAAAATGCTAAACAATGTTCTTTCAAGCTAAAAATAATTTTAAAAAGGCGACTAACATTGCAGAATACTGTGCAGAAACATTCGGTTTCTCTATTTAGTGTCATTTCTTCCTGTAAATACTAGGAAAGGCTTGAAGCACCCTGCAAAAAAAACATGTTGAAAAGGAAAGATGGAATTCCAAGGTCATTCATTTAAGAAAATTTGAGGGGGGAATTGAAAAGTGCCTAAAAAACAGCAAGCCTCTGAGCAGGAGCATTCAGCTGCAGCATTTTATTTCATGTTTCATCTTTTCCCTTCAGTCCGCCTGACCCTGTTGCTGGTGGGGATAGGACAGGGGTAGGCAACCTTGGCTCTTTTATGACTCGTGGACTTCAACTCCCAGAATTGGATCAGGAATTCTGGGAGTTGAAGTCCATGAGTCATAAAAGAGCCAAGGTTACCTACCCCGGGATAGGAATTCAGGTGCAATGTCACTGACTACAGCAAAGTGGGCAAAAGTGAATCTTCTAGTTCACACGTGTTGCCACTGAGCATCATTAATAAATTGTTGGTACAATATTTCACCATTTTGAGGGAAGCATGTTTAAATTAATGCAACTTTTAATGAAAATCTAACAATATTCAGCTTAATTACTTCTGATGTCATGGTCACATACATGCACTTTTCTTTGCATGGATAAAATAGTTTGCCATTGCTTCTGGATTGTACTTTCAGCTTACAAATCTAAGAAGTTTGTTTTGCTTTTGCATGCAAATATTAAGCAGATCCAATCCTTTATTTTTGTTTACATTAGCCAAAACGAAAACCAGACTTACTATTGTACCTCCTACGGTGCCCAATTAGGATAGTAAGACTAAATTCTGTTTTCTAATTCCAATATGACCTTTAGTAGTATCAATAATCTTTCAATTTTTTATGGCTAAGTGTTAAAGAGAAGTCATGGATGTGTCATATTACTTCTGCAACAGATAGCATGCATTGCCTGGAATATAGCTTAGGGAGATTGCCCAAACATTATTACACTGATGTGGTTTTGTACAACTGACAGTCTTCGCAGCTCACAGAATAATTTCCAGCCAAGTGTATACAGTAACAAGCCGTTTAATGCTGAAAAGAAAAAGGCTCCCTCTGCAGGGCATGGTGTCTAATAACAAGCTGGCAAAGTGATTTTTGACCACATGGCAGAAACAGTAATAAAACAAATTAACAATCCATTCATTTACAATACCAATATCACTACTAATTTTCTCCCCACCCCAGAACACCCCAGATGTAAAAAATGTTGAGTCTCTAGAAAAAGTGCAGAGAAGAGCACCACAGTTGATCAGGGGACTGGAGGCTAAAACATAAGAAATGGTTGATGGAATTGGGCATGTCTAGTTTGATGAAGGACGAGGGGGGACATGATAGCAGTATTCCAATATCTCAGGGGCTGCCACAAAGAAGAGAGAGTCAAGCTATTTTCCAAGGTGCCTGAACGCAGGACAAGAAGCAATGGATGAAAACTAACCAAACAGAGAAACAGCCTAGAACTAAGAAATTTCTCGACAGAACAAAATAAGCAGTGGAACAACCTGCCTCCAGAAGTTGTGAATGCTCCAACACTGCAAGTTTTTAAGAAGAGATTGGACAGCCATTTGTCTGAAATGGTATAGAGTTTCCTGCCTGAGCAGGGGGTTGGACTAGAAGACCCCCAAAGTCCCTTCCAACCCTGTTATTCTATTCTATTCTATTCTATTCTATTCTATTCTATTCTATTCTATTAACTGATACAGTTGCATCTTTCTACCTAATGTTGGGGACGCCCCACTTACTCGCCAAATCACGCGAAAGATCTGGCTGGATTAACATGAGACACCTATTCCCATTTTGTCCACCATGCTCTACCCATTTAGCCTACATCACAGAAATCAGAAAAATAGACTTGTCTTAATTACCATGGACAAACTTCCTACGACGTGAACACCTCCAGGGAAGCAATTCCACGCCTGTCCTGAAGAGGGAGGAAAAACGCAAGGCGACCTCTCACCAGAGGGGCGGGGCGTCTGACAATGGGTGGGGCGGATGTCTTCTCTGCGTCGGCGAATGTTGACAGTCTGAGAGACCCGGCTACAGTAAGGCGGAGGACTGGGGAAGGTATCCTTCCCGACTTCAGCTTAAATTGAGGGTTGGGGGGGGGGGGAGGAAATCAGTGAGCCGATAAAGCGGTTGACGTTTAGCGACGTCCCGCTTTTTAAAGCTCCCTCTGCAGCAGAATGAGGAGGCGGAGATACTATTCAGAGTAGGGAGGAAGAGGGGCGCCTTTGGGAACAGTCAGTGGCCTCTCCCCATTTTAAGAACAAGCTTAACGCGATCCTAAAGGATGAGTCCCATAAAGACAAACGTGTAACGGTTGTTCCTTCATTCTATGTTAGGGAGGAGGGTGTGGGAGGGGATCGGTTAGGCCATGAAAATACACTATAGGAGAGCCCGTGTTTAAGCTCATATCAACATCAAGAGATTTCATGGCTGCTTGGTTGTGCTTCTGTTCCATCAACGCACTATAACAACCTTCAAGCCTTGAGGCTGACAGTGGTGGTGGGAAGTTCAGGTTTGTTTTATGACTAGAAAAGATAGTTGAAAACCAGCGTTTGCTTTCCCATCACCCGCTTTCAATCTTTTTCTGGCCCAAGGTTGATTTTTCTATTGAAAGTATTCATGACAGCCTGAGTTTATTAGCAAATGAAGGTTTTGGAGCATCTCTGATCTGGTTGTAAATGTGTGATGCTGCCAAGCACTCAAAGCACAATCCTGCGATTGCAGGGATGCTGTGATAGTCACTTTTTTAAGTGCTTAACTTTCAATGATCACTAAAAGAATGGTTATTAAGCAAGTACTACCTTTAAACCTAAACTATAACAGGCTTCTGTCCTACTGATGTAAAAAAAAAAAATGGTTTCCCAAGATAAGTAATCTCTACCAACCCTAGGAAATCTGAAAGTTATTACATATAAGAAAAGTGGGTGAAAGTTAATTTTCTGGGACTGCTGAAAGCATTTTTCTTAGCATGGATGGAGGAAATAACTTTGAGTTTTTTTCTGTTGTCTTTTGGTTAAGCAAACTTGAAATTGCCACAATCCATTCCTCCTTTTTGTCTAATTTTGAAGGATAATATCCCATTATCAGTATGGCAGATGACAATGAAGAATTGCCAGCAGAGGAAGATCTACCGGTATCAGAGGAAAATTTAGAACAGCTGAACATGGGCAGCCCACCTGAGCGGAGTGGTCATGTGGCTGTTACTGATGGAAAATGCATGTTTATTTGGGGTGGATATAAGGTGAGAGAAAAAAAATTCTAGGTTTCTTATTAAATGCAACATTAGACAAAAATGGAGGTGGAGTCATGTTATCATGCCCAGAAGGACAGTGTGATTATGCTTCATTGATAAAGGTACAAGATATCCTAGGTGGATTTTGGTAATGTGCAAATTGGTGCAGTCCCTGTGGCATGTCACAGGGGACTGCACCAATTTGCACATTACCAAAATCTTTAGAAATACATTTCAAATGTATTTATTTTTTAAACTCAATTTTAAATTGCTTCAGTCGTCTAAACTAAGAGGCATCCAACCATTTTGTGCCATTTGCATTTGATAAGCATTCCCTTCATCATTTCACTGAAGTTTGTCTTGGCTAAATTGTTATAAGCTATATTTTGATCTGTTGAGATTAAAACAAAAAGCCAGGTATAAATTATTTGAGGGAATAGGATTGGCATTTCACAAAGAGGCATTGCTACTTTTGAGCCCGGAAATGGCATGCTTCTCAATATATATTTGAGGGAGATGGATAGTAATCTCTGTGCTGTAGCATAAAAAGTCTGGGATGCTTCTCCATTGCTATATTTTATTAAGCAGAAATATCTTCTTTCTTCCTTCCTAATTCAGAATGCTCAAGTGAGGGGCATTTATGACTTCTATCTGCCAAGAGATGAAATCTGGATCTATAACATGGAAACTGAACGATGGTAAGGCACTTGAATGACTTCCATGGATATCCTTCACCCTTTCTGTTAGAAGATGGAATTGTGTAGACAATTTTTTGTCACATCTAGCAGCATGCAATTACTGATTTTTTAGAAGCAGTCAGAGAAAAGTTTTACAAGACTCATGACAGTTGCTGTTCAAGCTAGTTCTGGGTAGGAACAGAGGGATTCAGTTGCAAAACGGGCATGAGAAAGGAAGGATATCCACAGCAGAGGCCAGGGAAAAATAGAAGCCTTGCTGCTGGAAGCCTACTTGAAACAATATAATAACAGATTCTTTTCTTTCATTGTTTCAATTCAATTTTATAAATAAAGTCTTTAATTTAAAAATACAGGTAGTTCTCAACTTACAACTGAGTCCAAAATTTCTGTTGCTAAGCAAGACAGTTGTTAAGTGAATTTTGCTCCATTTTATGACCTTTCTTGTCACAACTGTAAGTGAATCGCTGCAGTTCTTAGTAACAAAGTTGTTAAGCGATGTTCCCCATTTGCTTGTCAGAAAGTTGCAGAAGCTTCAGTTTAGAAGGACACTGCAACTGTCATAAATGTGAGTCAGTTGCCAAGCCTCTGAATTTTGATCATGGGACCACAGGGATGCTGCAACTGTTGTAAGTATGAAAAATGGACATAAGTCACTTTTTTTCAGTGCCGTTGTAACTTAGGACAGTCACTAAATGAACTGTTATAAGTCGAGGACTACCTGTATCTCCTCCCATTGCTTACTGAGTTTAATGATTTATCAGATTCCTTAGTGGGGGGGCACGCAGGTGTATGCTTGCACACACAGACACAGACACGCCAGGATTAAACCTAAGAGCAACACCTGCAGTCAGTCAGCTGAAAGCATGTTTAAGTACAGCTTCAAACTGATTTATACAACTGCAGCAAGGAAGGAGCTGCACATGCTCTCTGGAGAGAGTATTCCATCCTGCAGGGATTTTACAGGAAAAGGGCTGCCATCTCAGCCAGAGTCTGCAGATTCAAGAGGGAGGGGATCTTTCACCAGACCCTTGCTCAGTGAAGAGACCAGTGAAGGGCAGATTCAGTTCTCACAAGGTTATTGCCTGATGGATTTGTTTAAGGCCCTTTGTGGCTTGATACCAAGGGACCCAAGGACTTCTTCAGCATACTTTTCCTACTCAGGTGTACTTGCTATGCAAAAAGGTGGCAGAGAGCATTTTTATAGTGTCATAGTTGTGGAATTCACTTCTCCAGGAAGTTTGCTTAGAACATAGCTTTCTGTCTTTTAATATTAGAAATACTTCCCCCCCCCCCAAATGTTTTAATTCTGTTTAAAACCAGCCTAATTATACTTTGCTTATGCTGTATTTATGTCTATTGCATTTGAATTTTAAAAGATGTGATTTTTGTTCATATGGCATCCTGAAAAATAACATTGTTCCCTAGGTAGCCTTAGCAAAAAGATTAGCTGTGACAAAGGGCCTGTGTTTTGGGGAAAGCAGGTGCTGCTGGGGCAGACTAGCTTCTAATCAGTATATGCCGAATAAGCAGTGTATCAAATTGACTTCCAATGTTTTGAAGGACAGCTAAGCATTGAAGATACAAGTTTTCTTGTCTGATTCAAGCTCTCTTTTTGCCCCTGCCATCTTAGGACAAAACACAGAACCACAGGAGATGTGCCTCCATCTATGTCAGGAAGCTGTGCTGTGTGCGTGGACAAGGTTTTGTATCTGTTTGGAGGGCACCATGATTGTGGCAACACAAATAAGGTCAGCGACTGGGAATGTCCCAAACTCTCTGATCCATCTGGGAATTTTCTATTTTTCTTCTTAATTTCCAGCAAAGAGCCCCTGTAATTTTGCACTCAAATGCCAATCTCTTGTTGAGAGTGTTTGGAGTGTGTTAAAAATCCATATGGACACTGAAAGAGTATTCACTGCCCCATTCTTGGGTGGCTGGTTGTTTTTTATGTATTATGAGTATGTCCTGAGTGTGTGTCAGTACATTCCAAATATCCTCATGATTTCATTATATATACATTATACAGCTATTGTTGCAAGATGGGTGACCAGAGAAATCAGTTAAATACGTAGATTATTGATACGCTTCCTACTCCACTCGTGGACTCTAGAAGTTACGGTCATAAAAACACATAATCAATAATCAATTATAAACATAGTCCTCGGACCTGCTGTCTTCATAGTTAAAATTTTTCCATTCCAAAGAGCTCAATTCTCATTTCCTCCCTGAACATTAATAGAGTGGGAACTATCTTGACCTCCCTAAGAAGAAAGCTACTCCAGAGTCAGGGTTTTGCCACCAAGGAGACTATCCTTCTGAGCCCCACTCCCTTAACCTTTTGGGGTGGGAGCCCACAATGGTCCCTCCCATTAGCACGTATTAGATGGGCAGATTGCACTTGGACTAGGTAGTTTCAAAGACATTGTAAACCCAAGCCATAAAGGCTTTAGAAATGGGGAATTTGTTGCTCCACAATAAATCTTTGTTGAAAGAAGCAAAAATGGCTGTGAATAAAAGTATGTTCTGTCCATTTTGTTATATGGAAGAGAGAGATGGATGTGTCTGGAGAAACATAAAAATAAGCTGAATTTGAGCATGTAGAGAGTTGATGTGACAACTTAGTGATGTGTCTCACCCACTGAGACTGTCCCACCCCACCTGTGCCCCATCCGTCAAGGAATTCTGGCTGGTGGGGTCCAGGAGAAAGGCATTCTTTGCTGTGGCCCCTGCCCTTTGGAACATCTTGTCCACTGAGGTGAAATTGGCTGCCATCATTCTGTCCTTCCACAGGAGCCTGAAGATCTGGCTCTGCCAGATGGCCTGGGTCCTCCATGGGGAAACATCACATTGCTAAATTAAGAGACAATCCCATCTCCCCCCCCCCCAAATGCATCCTGTTCTCTCCTTCCCCATATTTTAATTGTATCTTGATTGGAATTTCTATTTATTTATTTGTTATTTATTTATTTGTTAGGGTTTTTTTATGTTTTAATGATGGAAGCCACCCAGAGTCATTTGCCCAGGCAAATAAATTCAATAAATAAATAAGATAATCCCAGAGAGATGAGACTTCATTTGCGCCATGGAATTGCAAATCCAAAATCTGTTTCTTTGCAGTTCTATATGCTAAACTCCAGATCAAATGATGGAGTGTTGCAGTGGGTCAGAGTGGACTGCCAGGGTATTCCTCCATCATCAAAAGACAAGCTCGGAGTATGGGTTTATAGAAATAAGTAAGCAACTATAAATTATTCTAAGTATCCATTATTTTTCTCGGAATCAATTGTGTGATATATTCTGCTATTTATAGTATAAAAAAATCAGAAAAATGAACCTTTATATTACAGGGCTGAAATTGGTTTGCTTCATTTTCCCCTGTTCATTCTTTTGTTAGATCATTTTATATATAACAATTTCTAAGTGGTGGATTCAGGGTTGGGTTCTAATGTGCACATAAAAATAAAAATCAATATGACTTACCAATATCTGAGAATAATTTAAAATGTGGGAGTTATTAAGAAGAAACAATAATATAAAACAATACATTAATTGAAAATATCAATGCAAGTTGAAATCACATGAGACTGCACGAGGTTCATTTCACTTGGAGAATTAATCTAAACTGCTAAGAATTTCTGATATCCAAAAGGCAACATATAATTATATCCTGCCCAATTTCCGTTTTAGAAGCAGTTCATGAAAATTAAGAAGACTATTCTGATCTTGAACATCTTTTTTAAAATATGTAAAAAAATCTAAAGAACTGCATTTGAAATATCCTTCCCCAGCCTTGTATGTGGGTTGTACTGCAACTTCCATAAATCCCAGTAATAATATTAACAATTATAAACAATAACTTCTTAAACAAATTTGGAGAAGATAAAATCATTTAATCTCATAGCTGTTCATTTGGATTCCCTTCCCTACACCCTTTGTTTATTCACAAAGCATTGTGCAAGTCCTATACACAAAAATGGTTCCTCTATCTTATTTAAATGCAAAATCTCTACTCAATATAAAGGATTATAAGTACAGGAATCTATCAGGATAGTTTATTGTTGTGATTGATGTTTTCCTCATATCTTTTTGAACAGACTTATATTCTTTGGTGGCTATGGCTATTATCCTGATGTGGAGCAGATTGGAACCTTTGAGTTTGATGAAACCTCTTTTTGGGTAATTGATTTTACTTTTCTGAGCTGGAATTCTTTTATGGAAAGTTGGAACTCAACCATGACCCGGCCCAGACGTGCTTCTTCTTACCATCTTTGCGTTCATGAAATTGTTTAGAAAGGATTATACTGTACCTCAATAATAAAAGCAGGCTTTGTTTTTAAGTCAGTTTGCTGCCTACATTTTGCATGTCTTTAAGAAAAGGGGCCCATAAGGTTCTAACTGTAACAGGAAGGTCAAACGTATCCCCGAAGTATTTTGCACAGGAATTGTTTAGAATTTAATATTTGCTAAAATGAAAGACTCGAAAGACTTTGAGAAATTGCTGCCTGCATTGTTGCCTTCCTAGTCCTAACTTCAGTAAATAAGAAAAAATGGTCATCTAAGACAGTATAATTTATGCAAGGATTCTATTCATAGAAGCAAATTCAGTTTTTGCTTCATTTGGGGGATTATCTTAATCTGTCTAGAACTGTTGATATGCAGTGAGACAGTGTGTCCTTCCACTTCTTGTGAGAGACAGCTAACGATGATTAAAAAGATCTGTGATTTTGAAAACCAAATTGCTACCATACTAGGCCAAATGTTTGAAAACCCACAAAATTGCAAAAAGATCCAAATGTACTCCCATTCAATACTTTTCATTTAGCTTGACCTCTTTTCTGCCCAACTTATAAAGTCAAGAAAAAGGAATGATTTAAAAATAATTTTAGCCGTGTTGCTTTAGCTAGAAATGTTGAAATGTTTAGCTGTAGAAAAGATTATAACTTCGTGTCTCTTTTTGGCTCTAGAATTCAGGTCTTCCTAGAGGGTGGAATAATCACGTACATGTCCTAGATACGGAGACGTTTACTTGGAGCCAGCCTGTGACCACGGTAACCCTCAAATGAATTTCTCAGTGGCAGCTTTAAGCTGCCATTCTCCCAACATGGATAACCTGGGCTCTAATCTTTCTATTGGTGCATATTTAAAGTGCTCCAATAGTGAGGTAATTAACAACAGCAATCCCAGTTCAAGTCTTACTTTTGCCTCTAATATGTTTTTTCAGCAATGCTTTCTGAATCCTAGCCCCCCCCCCAGTCCTTTTTTTTTATTGTGTTATTAACCACAAAAATGATACAATCAGCTGGCTTATCTCTCAGGGCTACTGCAGGGATAAGACTATGTTACATGTGGAAGAGAGATTTTTCTTTTAGTGGGTTAGGAAACAAAGAGGAGACAGACATAGATTGGACCAGGAAACAGTAAACTTCTACATGTAGGTAGTTGTCGACTTACAATTATAATGGAGCTTCCCCATTACAATTTTAAGTCATAACAGTCATAAAACAGGTCATCCCGTGACTGTTCCAATTTACAACCTTTTTTGCAGTGGTTGTTAAGGGAGTCACCATGGTTGTTAAGTTAATCCTCTGTCGTTAAGCAAACCCTTTGTTCGCTATGGGTCATTTTTGCCCCAAACTGAAATAATCTTCAGTTTTCTGCAAAACATCCTAAATCGCAGTTGTAGGACACTGCAAACGGTTATAAATACGAGCTGGTTGCTGAGGGCCCCAAATGCTGTCAGATTATCACAAGAGAGGAGGCAGCCATCAGAGCTTTAGAACCGGGTTGTAAGTACCTTTTGGGAGGTCCATCATAACTTTGAATGATCAGTAAACAACCCGTCACAAATCAAGGATTACCTGTAACTTCACTAACTGAGCATTCTCCAGTTGGGGTGAACTAAATCACCATTGGCCATTTTCAGGATGGATGGTAGAAGTTTTAGTTCCAGATACGTTGAGAGCATCACATTGGAGAAAACTGATTCTAAAGAGCACATTTGAGACAATGATATATTCTGTTTTCTCAATTGCCTTCAGAATAATATTTTCTGGAATTCTCCTCTCAGGGTAAATCACCATCACCCCGAGCCGCCCATGCTTGTGCTACAGTTGGAAACAGAGGATATGTCTTTGGAGGCAGATACCGAGTGAGTAGAAATGCAGAAGGAGGTACAGTTTCCTCTTGGAGGACCAACTGCACTAAATCCATATCTCTCCCTCTCTTCTCAGGAGTCTAGAATGAATGATCTTTATTTTCTTAATCTGGAAACATGGGAATGGCAACAAATGTAAGTAGGTCTTTCCTTCCCTTCATAATTGTGCTTCTTTCCAACATGGAATGTTTAATTTCACAAAATTTATATCCTGCCCTTCTAGGTAATTTCTAAAGTTTTGGCCATTTCTCACATTAGATTTTGGGGGATGAAAGTTGTGACCCTTCCAGGAAAATATTTTCTGCACTATTTTCTTGAAAATGGTTCCAGGATTATATTTGCAGTATTACACTTAGTATTAGAAGATCTCCTTGTCTCATGGTACTAGGAAAATGTAGCGCAAGTCACTAAAGGGGATTCTTTGCACGTGAATCGCAGCATACAGACTTTTCTTCAAAAACCAAACTACATGGTTCACCAGAAATCTCTTTGGGTCTCAAGAATTTCCACAATGTAAAATGTTCCTCACCTTTATCTCGACAGATCTCTCTCAATCTATGAATCTCTATAAAGTTCTGCATTTTTATCCACCGCTTGTAAAGCGTTTACAATTTTGTCTACAGAGGTTCTCTGTTATCCAGATCGCGATTGTGCCAAAGTTGTTTTTTTTTTAAAGGCAACTGGACTTTCTGATTTTTCTTTAAGACATTTTGTTAGAACTGAAGAAGCTTCTTAGATAAGAAGTAAAATGTCTTAAAGAAAAATCAGAAAGTCCAGTTGCCCTTAAAAAAGCACCTTTGAGACAGTTTACAATTTTACACCCAGGGTAGACATTTCTGCCCCTGTGAGCCTTGGTTTTCTTACTTGGTGTGTGTTCTTCCCCCCTCATAGAGTTGTGCAGGGCAGTTGCCCTGTTGGACGATCTTGGCATTCTTTAACTACCATTTCCTCAGATCATCTCTTCCTCTTTGGTGGCTTCACAACAGACAAGCAGCCACTCAGTAAGTAAATTTTGGAAGCGTAGATACTATCTTCAATTTCTGAGATTATTGGTTTTCTGGGGAAGAATCCTTTATCCTGTGCCCTGGATTTATTTTTGCTTCCATCTGATAATTTCACAAGCCCCTTTAAATTAGTGGTAGAATGTTTGTTCGTTGCCATTTCCCACTTCACAGAGTTAACTTTTGTTTATATAGGTAGTCCTCAATTTACAACCACAGCTGAGCCCAAAATTTATGTTACTAAGGGAGACCTTTGTTAAGTGAATTGTTCCCTATTTTATGGCTTTTCTTGCCATAGTTGTTAAGTGAATCATTGCAGTTGTTAAGTTAGTAACCCGGTTGTTAACTTGTTAAGTGAATCACTGCAGTTGTTAAGTTAGTAACCCGGTTAAGTTGTTAAGTGAATCATTGCAGTTGTTAAGTTAGTAACCCAGTTGTCAATCGAGAAACTGGCTTCCCCATTGACTTTGCTTGTCAGAATGTTGCAAAAAAATGATCACATGAGCCCATACCACTGCAACTGTCATAAATATGAACCAGTTGCCAAGCATCCAAATTTTGATCATGTGACCACGGGGATGCTGCAATGGTTGTAAGTGTGAAAAACAGTCATAAGTCACTTTTTCCAGTGCCATTGTAACTTTAAACAGTCACTAAACGAACTATTGTAAGTCAAGGACCACCTATATTTTATAATGCTAAGAAGGGCATAACATGCTCTAGTCATGCTACATGTGATAGATATTTGGTATGAACGTTGGTATCTTGTTGGGTATCATTATATTTTTCCTTAATTACAGTGATTACAGTATATTTATGAAACAGGTCCTGGAAATAGCTGTACCATTTCATGGTAATTTCTTTGCCAAGGAAGATTCCAAATTCTTTAAGAAATAAAATAAATTAGTGAGAGGACTTTTAAAAAAAAAAGTACCATAAAGAATATAGCTATATGGGATGTCTTGTAGTTGGCCTTCAAATATGTAGCCCTTGAGCCCTGTGCTAGCAGTGGTACGATAGGTCTTCCCCTGAGAGCCCAGAGCCTCAGGTGATGCTTCTAAATTTGTACTTTGGACCATGTTGTGACCTACCTAGTTCTTCTGGGCAGCACTGAAAACACGCCTTCTCAGTTAAAGTCTCCTTGCATTGCAGGTGATGCCTGGATCTATTGCATCAGTAAAAATGAATGGATACAGTTTGAACACAACTATTTAGAGAAACCCCGGTAAGACAGCAGCATAAGAACTGTACTGCATTTCTGCATCCCAAATTCACCGCAGCAGCCTTCCCCAGCTTCATGTGTCCAACTGTCATGCATCTTATCTTCAGTCAACATGAAGTTTTTACAGTAGAGCAGTCTTTTTCAAACGTGGTAGTGTTTAAATTGTGTGGCCTGGGAAGTGTTGGGAGTTGAAGCCCACATACCTTAAAGTTGGCAAGTTCGAAAAATACTGCAATATATTAACCATCAGAAAAAAAAGTTTTGTTGGTTTATCTGTCCTTTATTTTTGCCATCCTGAGCAGTATCTTTTACTGGACAACTGGGGAGAGAACGATTGAGAGTATTAAGCTTTTCCCCCATTTCTATGTTTTCAAAGTCCATACTACTGTCAAATGCAAGAAAAAAAAGGAATATTGTGAAGCTGTTATGGCATGCTGCTGCAAAAATATCAAATTTTGTATTTCTTGGTTTTATCACTAGTGAGTGGAATGCAAGAAACTATAGAAAAATTGAATCAAATACAGTAAATTCCAGTTGCTGTCATTGTATACTTGATGTTATTGTTGTTATCTCTCCCCATCCAATGTTTACTTAGCTTGGAGTTTGTAACTGAAGCTGTAGTTACTGCTGTGATTTGTGAATATTCTCACACTCCTGTGCCCTTGACTTCTTTGCATTTGTCCTGTTGCGTTCTCAATGTGCAAATGTTCTGTTTACAGACTCTGGCACACCGCCTGCGCAAGTGATGAGGGAGAAGTGATCGTCTTTGGGGGCTGTGCCAGCAATTTACTTGCCCATCACAAAGCAGTAAGTTCTCTTTTCAGGTCTGGGTGGCTTCTTCAGTTCACTGGCTTTGACTGTGTGGAGAGAGCAAAGGTTTTGCTAAGGGATCTCTGTTCTCTTTATTGTGGACTGTAGCTTGAGTTTCTCAATCATGAAATTTCATGATTGCTTTTTTGTTTGTTTGTTTTCAGGCACATAGTAATGAGATACTTGTGTTTTCTCTTCAACCCAAATCCCTGGCAAGGTATTTTTCATACACTTTAAACTTTCTTTCCGTTGATGAATATGCAAAATGAGAATTTGAGGATATAAATCTGGCATGATAACAATAATAAATGTTCTAGTTGTTTTGGTAGGAAGCTGACAGATCTCTTGAGGAAATGTCTAGTCTAGGCCAGTTTTTTCAAACTTGTGTCTTCTACAAGTGCATGAAGCAGACCATTGAGTAGATACTGTATTTTTCTATTCAACATAAGATTAGTTGTATCTGCTGCTTTAAAAAAAAAACCTTTAGTGTTCATCAAATACAACAAAATACAATAGAAATGGATAGTTGTCCATCATGTTATCACACCTGGCACTATATCTATATGCCATTAAGTAGGAACAGGGGAAAAAAACAGTGGTCTAAAATTTTAAGTTTCTTTTCATCTTCTCCCCTCCAGATTGTGTCTAGAGGCTGTTATGTGCTTTAAAGAGACCCTGGCCAGTTCCTGGCACTGCCTTCCCAAGCACCTGCTCCATAGACTCAACCAGCGCTTTGGTAGTAACAACACATCTGGATCATAGGGAGAATCTTCACTGGTCATGCTGTATATAGATGGCCCTTCTATAAAAAGATGTAATAATTTTACCATCCCTGAATGACAAAAAGAAATTTGTATAAAATGTTCCTGTGTTGTAATTAGTGACTACGTTTTGATGTCTTTTGATTGCATGTGAATAACTTAGAAAGAGAACCTATTTTTGTGTAAGATTTGGTTGCAATAAATGTATTATTTAATGCAACTGTGGAGAGACTCACTATTTCTCCTACACTGGTGCTGGATCAGAAGCCTTGTGTAAGATTGCATTTCATTCTATAAAGCACAAGCTCGTATTTATTAAATCTAGGGCCAGGAATCTGTAACGCAGCATTGTCTTACATGCAAAATTAATAGTTTGCCCCACAATTGATTGTTTCTATTACTCCAGATTTCTGAGAAAGGGTAAATATATCATTTTGGTATCCAGTGCCTCCAATACTAAGAGGCATATTCTGGAATGGGACTTTCGGAGAATGGTGGTTAAAGTTTCTAATCACAATGGAAAGTATGGAACCTAAGCCAATAATTAATTCTTTCCTTTTAAATGTGTATCAAATGCATCATCCTGTTTCATGCCAATTTTTTTTAAATTATCCGGACAGTCTTCTAATGGGGGGGGGGTCCCCAACCTCCGGTCTGCAGACCTGTGCTACCAAGAACTGGACCATGCGAGTGAAGCCCCAGCCATGCACATGCAGGATGCCAGCAGGGTGTGAAACAGTGCCCCCCTGGTCCATAGAAAAATCGCTATCTACGAAACCAGTCCCAAAAGGCCATCTGAAAAAAATCAGTTCTATGTTGTAGTAAAAGAGTACAAATATAAAATGTGACATGGAGCCTAATTTGTCCTCTCTCTAGAAGTTTTGACTAGAATAATTCAGAAGGAAGAACAAATTAAAGGCTTAGAAACCAAAAAAGAAATATTTAAGTTACAGGCCTATGCAGAAAAAAGTCAGTTCTATGTTGTAGTAAAAGAGTACAAATATAAAATGTGACATGGAGCCCAATTGGTCACAAAATCAAGGGTTGTACGAGGCTTGATGATAAGCACTTTCCAATATAAATCCATTTTCTAGGAAGAAGTTGAAGTTACTTTAAGACAAGGGAGAGAGGAAAAGCACAGCAATTATGGAATTGTAATCATTTGATCAGTAGTGGATTTTATTAACAAAACAGAAAGGTGCTCCAGTGATGATGTATCGCTTCTGTAATTGGGCAACACAATCCAAAGGTGCAAACTTGTGAAGTTGTACGTAGTTCATATCATTTCTTTTTCAAATGTTGGAGATTAGGAGCTGACACCTTCACTTTGCCTGGAATATTTCTGGATAGGTCAGTATCCTATGCAAAAAAATCACACGTCCATCTTGATTAGCTATATCCTTATAGTACTGTTAGTCATCTTTCTACCAATAGGAAAGCCAGGTGCTAAAACAAGCAGCAAATACCAGGCAAATTTTTTTATAGTTGACAAAATTCTTTTTAAGGAACTTAAAACTGTAGGCCCATTGACCTATGAAACTCTTCCTAATCTGGAAGGATACTATAGATTCCCTAATCCATAAAGAGGAATATCTAAATATACCTCTACTGCTCTTCTCAAATGAAGAGCAGAGTGCTCCTAGTAGAACATGAGAGCCAGTTAACTTTCTAAGACAGGTAGGATCTCTTTCTTATCACTAATCCCAATTGTAGTTTTCAAAAACAATCTTATATAACTGGAAAATCGTTTTTCCCCCATGAAGACACTTCTGAACTGAAACTATATTCTTAGGAGGGATGGACTAGTAGTTTTATCAATCCGCCAATTACCCCCACCTCCAATGTTTTTGCCAAAATATTATTTATTACCTAGAGGTCTAAATTTGTATCATTGGACTTCAGAGTTACCACTTTACAATTCATATCCTATTTTTCAACTTTAAAAAGACAAGATTCTGTGTATTTAAGTTTCACATGGAGTTTACAACTGATTCTTCTTTTTTGTTTCCACAATACTCGCTTTAAAAGCAAGTACTGCCTGCTCTCACGCAAGACCATAGATTAGCACCATCCCTGCAAAAGCAGTTTTTTACCTTCACACTGCGGAAGAGATCCTTCTCCCTCATAGTTGAATCCTTGGACTGCATGAAATTATGCAAAGCAGTCTTTGCAGCTGTTATGACACAAAACAACATAAGGCAGATAAAGTATAAGTAGTTTATCTGTTTTGGGGGATTCTTAAAAACATCACCATAGGTTTTCCATACCCTCTCAGCTCAGAAGATGGCATCAGATGCATCTTGGGGGAAAGCAGTTTTTCATGTTTTTAAATTATTTTAATGTTTAAATGGCAAACAGGTTGAGTAGAAAGACAGAACACTGTACATATGCATATAAATAAAACAGAATTTAAGAGGAGATACTGCCAACAGGACAATTAGAATAGGAGAGAAAATGTGTAAAAGCAAATTATTAATGGATAAGCTAAAATAACATTTTCTCATCAACACTTCAATGACCGTTGGGTCATTGTTTCAAAGATAATTCCTTACTAAATTCTTCAATGCTTTCATGGCAGTAAAGTACTTTGTAAAGTACTTAAAAAGTTCTTAAAATTTCAGAAAGATTCAAGAGATGTATCTGCCTTGAAAGTAACCCATGTTAAAATGTATATAGCACAGGCTACTTCCGGTGGATCTGCGCACGCGATGGTGACTACTTTGTAGCCGTCCTCCTGGGTAAGTGTTTGAATCGCTATGAACAGCGGACATCAGCTGTTCAGCGGTTCAAAATCCCCCTCCCGGGCGAAGGGAGGGGGAAGAGGATTGTCTGAATAGTGGTAGAGCCTCTTATGCACCCCCAAGGTTTTTTTGGGGGGGCTGAAAAGAGTGCTCCCATGGAGTTCAGACTGTCTCCGCTTCCCAGCTGCTTTTGTCTCTAGGGACAAAACAAGCCGCTGCAACCACCTCTGCGATTAAAGTGATTTGGTGAGTTTTTCTTAAAAGCGGACAGAGCTGAGTAGAGGATTTTGCTTTTGCTTTCTCTGATCTTATTTGGATTTTAAGTTTAAAGATTTACTTCTATATTCCTTTTTATTTTTTTTTTTCTTTTGTTGAAAGGGAAAGTAAAATGGTGATCGGCAGGCTTTTCGGTGTTTTTTTTTTCCTTTTTTTTTAATGACTGGAATGGAATGTGGACTTGATTATTTATAATGATTTTTTGATATTGGGTTTGGATTTTAGGAGGATTATTATTTTTGTTTAACTTTTTTGTTTTGTTTTTTGTACTTTAAAAAAATGGAATGGATTTTTTCTATTTAATTATTTTTTTTTCTCTTTCCCTTTTCTTTTTTTTAACTTTTTTCTTTTTATTATAATGATCTCCTTTTGAAGGATTTTTTGATTTTTTGGAGTTAATCTCTCTTTTTCTTTTGCTTAACTTTTGTAATTTTTAAGAAGGAGTAAAGATTTTTTTAAGATGGCTCCAAAGCGTTCAGTAATTCCTACAGCTCCTAAGGTGGTTTCTTCTTCGGTGTTATCATCAGCGCAACAACCTAAATCAATAGCTTCACCCTCTTCTTTGGCACAGTCAATAATGGTGAAGGATTTGCAAGACATGATGGGAAATGTTATATCTCAAATTAGGGGAAAAATGAAAGAGATTTTAGAGGAAAATAATACGATTTTGAGGCAAGAGATAGTTTTGGCTTTAAAAGGAGTTGCCTCTGTTCTTGAAAAGCTGAACTCTCGCGTAGAAGAGGTAGCAGAAAAAGTGGAATTGAGGGAGGGAAAATTTGAAAGCATGGAAAAACAGATGGAAAATTTTCAAGATGAGATTCTTATGCTTCAATATAGACAAATGGAATATGCTTTAAGAATTAGAGGCTTGAGAGAGTCTGTGCAAAGTGATCTGAGAGAGATGGTTGCAAATGACTTTGCTGTGATTTTGAATAGAGAAAAAGAGGAAATACTTAGTGAAATTGAAAAAACATTTAGAGTTAACTCCGTGGTGGCAGAGCAAAAGAATTTGCCAAGAGATGTGGTAATTTATTTTGGGAAAAGATCCCTGCACAACGAAATTATACAAGCTTTTGATAAGAAGAGGTTTCAAATTGCTTCACAAGATGTTATAATTTTAAAGGAGATCCCATCTAAAATTTTAAGAAGAAGAAAGGAGTTTGCTTTTTTAGCAGACGAACTTAAAAAGAGGCGAATCTTGTTCAGATGGGATGTTCCGACTGGAATGGTGGTGAGTTACCTGGGGATACGTTATAGACTTAATACTGTTTCTAAAGCAAAAGACTTTTACACTTCGGTCCTGGGGGTATGCTCATCGCCATCTATTACGTTTAAAGCTTTGGAAGAGAAAAGGTAGAATTGCAGTCCGAAGAACCTATACTTATGAAAATTGGGAAATCTCAGTTCGAGGGGCCTCAACAAGTTGAGATGGAGGAGCAGAGGATAACCTGTGCAACATATAATTGTAAAGAAAAGGAGCAACAGAAGAAGGAGGTTAAGGGAGCCTCACAAGTATTGGTTTCTGAATCTGCGGGAGAAGTAAGATTTATAAACTTTTTGGAGCAACCTTTAAGGGTAGAATTACAGTCTGAAGAGCCTATATTAATGAAAAATGGGAAATCTCAGTTCGAGGGGCCTCAACAAGTTGAGATGAAGGAGCAGAGGACAACCCGTGCAACATATAAATGTAAAGAAAAGGAGCAACAGAAGAAGGAGGTTAAGGAAGCCTCACAAGTATTGGTTCCTGAGTCTGTGGGAGAAGCAAGATTTATAACTTTTTGGAGCAACCTTTAAGGGCAGATTTCAAAGCACTTCTTTCGAGGTTTATGGATAAGAGAGACTGATAAGGAATGTGTTTATTGTGGATGGAATTGGTTATTGGTAAAGATTTAAATATGAAGGGAATCTTAATGTTTTAAGTAATGTTTAAATTTGTGTTTTGGAGGGAGTTTATAAAGAATGATGGATAATAATATAAGTATGATATTAGAAAATGTTTAGAGTATATTATAATGTGTTTAATGATTGTAATTATAAAAAAAATTTTTTTGGTTTTTTTTCTTTTTATTATTATTATTTTTAAGAGAAGATAATTTGTTTAATTTAATGTATTTAGATTTGCTTAGGATTTATATGTGTTTTAAGTTTTTTTTTGATAGGAGAGAAGATCATGGAGATCGAATGAAAATTTTAGATAAGAAGT